CAGACTTGCCACCTGCTGGCAGCTGTATCAGATATCGAATCGGTATTGGCCAATATGCTTCCTTAAAAATTAGCTATTGGTATCAGCCCCCAAAATCTCTATCAGTGCACCCCTACTTTTGTATAATACTCCTTGCTCTGTTTGGCACATTATAATTTTGAACAAAAAATCTCAAACCTTGTTTTTTTTCCCCCCCCATTCTTACTTTTTAGGAAAACTGGTTTCAGACTGATGGCCATTAATTACTAAGCTTCTCCCTTTTTCGCACTTGCTTATCCAGTAGATCTTCTACTGATAATGCAGAAGGAAGGCAGACTGCCTGACAGAAATCTGAGATGTGAATTGGAGAGGAAGCCCTTTCCTTAATTATTAACAGTATTAGTTTTTCTACAGAATTGTGTTATCTCCCTAATAAATGAATTCTTATGAATGCTGTTTTTCATGAATACTGTTTTTCAACCTGAATATTAAGTAATGTCATTATGATTAAACTTAGTTTAAACACCAAATAAGAATAAAATACATTAGGAATAATTAAGAAAAAAAAATCTTAGTACTTATTAATGTTCCAATCCAGACAATGATGTATTATTTGCATGAGCAAGGAGTTATGGAAGAAAAACCAAGCTCATAATTTCAAACCTTTAAAATTACATGGACTGGAAAATGTAAAATCAGTCATAACTTCTTTTAAGTGAGTTTTCATTCAGAACCGTCTGCTGTGGAGGTTCTTGTCCCCATGGGGGTCGCAAATAGAGAGGTTCTTCCTCTAATTCATCTGGTGCTGCCCACCATCCGAGACAGACCACTGGAGCAGATGGAGCACTGGTCTGGCCCGTGTGGTAGGATTTCCCCGTCTAGAGAGCACTTTCCCATGCAGAAGCAATGCTCCTCTAAAAAGCTGGGCATCTGAAATATTTTCAAGCCCTAGAGGTCATCCAATACGCTGCCATGTTACATATCACATATTGTGAAATAAACTAAAATGTAGCAGGCCTGTGATATTTCATTCTGTGAATTACTAAGTGTGTGTGGTAGTATCAGGGCTTACGCCCCTTTGAATACCCCTCCCTTTTTGTAAAATACTATTTATAAGGGGCTATGTTCTGTTTGGTTACATTAATGAGTCTCCACCGCGGCTGCATGTTCCCACAGAGTATGGCATACCTGCTGCAACGTCAGCAAGGTGCTCTAATCCTCCTCTTCAGAAAGCGATTATTGATGTCCTATATGCAATCCAGTTAGACAATACAACCTGCCCTACATGTCCTCCTCACTCTCCGCTGCTAATTGCATGCTCAAACCTCACTGACAGCTGCCACTCCAGCCTTTTCCTTCCAGACAAGCTTGAATCATTGATGAAAAACACATCACAGTTCTAAAACTGGTATATCTATACACTGAAAGGTATGCTATATATCCATTATAAAATATATATATTGCATCCCATGGTTAAAACGCACTTAAACCGGTACTGCAGGAACAGAGGTCAGTTAATGGTATTTACAACGTGAAATGTGCCTAATCTATGGTAATGTTTAATGGTCAATGGTTTAATGTCACCTTTTTAGAAGGTTAACATTTGAAGAAATTGTAGTAGCATAAAAAGATTGTTGCCAAGATACCCTAACTTGATATTATCTACTTTCAATAGAGCCAACAAGGATAACTTTGGCCCCTTCCAATATGGATGTTACTGTTGGAGAAAGTGTAATCCTGCCCTGCCAAGTTCAGCATGATCCCCTACTAGACATCAGCTTCACGTGGTATTTCAATGGGACACTCACGGATTTCAAAAAAGATGCTTCTCATTTTGAGAAGGTTGGGGGGGTAAGTTACTTCTTTACACTTCTTACCTTATAGCTGCATAGAGCTTAAAGCCTGGTCCTACGTAAAAATGAAAATATTGAGGACCCTTTAGTTCTGAGCACTTCCTTAATTAATCAAAGGAAAAAATGTACTTCCTTGATTAGCAGAGGCCACATACAGACACTCCCTTTCTACTGGAAGAATTGCTGTTCTCCCAGTAGAAACCAAAAGTGTGGAGACGTTTGACCAATTTTTTTTTTTTTCTTTCCTGGTGTGAAAATGGCTCTTCCAAGAGAAAAACAATGAGGTAGACGTCAGTCTCGTGAAAGTTTCTCTTGGGAGACATAATGTCTGTACACTTTCCCCTGGCTTAACTCTTCTCGGGGACCAGGAGGAGTGGAGCTGCGGGAGGGACACCCATGCCTTTCCAAGGCCAGGATCATCCTGATCTGGAGAAGACGCAATGGGGTAGCTGCTGCCCTCCTCCTGTAGATGGGGAGGGTGGAATAGCCACCGTCTTCTGTCCACCTGTGCCACGCTCCAGAAATCCAATTTTGAGAAGCATGCAGGGGGATTTGCTGCTCGGCTGTTTGCTCGGCTCCTGGGCACCAGGAACCAAGCACAGAAATCAGTACAAACCCCATGCCTGCTTCTCACATCAGAGTCCCTGATGTGAGAAGCGGGCAGGAGGAACAGGAGGAACCCATGCTTTCCCCAGACCTGGATCACCCAGGAAGGCAAAAAGAGCAGGAGACTGCAGACAATTTCAGACTGAACATTTGTACTGCTTCCTCTTGCAAAATTATTTCTAGCGGTGGAATATTTTTACTGCTAGAATTTTGAACATTTATATGTAGCCATAGTAGGATATTTTCCACATCAGGTAATTGAAGGTATAGCAATCGGAGCTGATTTCTGTGTGTTTTCCACAACCCTTGTGCTTGATACTAGATGCCTGAAACATGAAAATACAGAAGTGATACAAAATCCAGAAAGCTATTTACAGCTAAACCACATCTCTCTCTCTAAGAGGATAATATTGATAAAGTCAAATAAGTTGTTTTCTGCCAAGCAAAAAGAAAAAACATTCTTCAGCTAGATACTTTGTGGTATACATAGCCTGATCTTTGCATTGTCTCCATTTTCTGACTGTGCATAAACTCCAATGTTCCTGTCACTGCCACAGGCATCTACAAACTGCCTGAATCATCTGATGATTTTTCTAAATGATGCTGTTTTACTGATTTGTAGCTACAAAATGCTGAAGCCTGCATTAATAACTAAGAGATCTCCATTTTTCCTGACGTCATGATGCTGTCTGCAGAGAGAGAGAGAAATCTGAGGTGGTTTTACCATGGTGAAATCTAGGCAGTCTTCCTTTGCAGGAGTTTCGTAGATTTATATCATCCCAAATTTAACACAAAGTTTTGATGCAGCTGTTGCAAATGAGCTTTTGGTCTGTAAAGAGTTAAGTTCCAGTAACTGGCATTTTGTAACAATGGTTAATTTCCCATGTGCTACAAATGGCTCCCTACATCAGCTCTTAACAAAAACTGCTGAGTATCACCTGGTTTTGCACACAGCTGCATTACATAGTTGCCAAGCAAAGCAGGCCTAGGACTATTGCTTAACTAATGTGAGTCTGAGATTTGAAACTGTAAAATCTTCAAACTTCCTAACCCAAAGGAGTGTCCAAATATTTAGCCACCACAGGCAAGAGGTATCTATTGAAGCCCCCAGATCTATAGGAAGCCTAAGTGGTTGGGGGTGTAAGTTGTCACAGTGTTGGTCTAAGGACACAGGCAGGCAAGGTTCTTTGGGTAAATCTGATATATTTTATTAGATATATTAGATATGATAAAAGAGATCAGAATTACCCAAAGAACCTTGTCTGCCTAGGTGGTTGGGGAGCATTACAGTTAAAAAGTGTGGCACCTGAGAGGTTTAGATGCCACTAAGTTTAATTGGCATGCAAGCAGAAGTTTTTAGGGCTACAGTTTTGGATTTACAGTACTTGACTAAATCCTGCCTAAGCCTTTGTTTGGATCCTAGCACTAAGTGACATTCCCAAAGTCACACACATTCTGTCGCTCAGCCAGGAGCTGTACTTGCATCTCCTCACAGGGCTAACATTTTCTAACGTGTTATTTAGCATAAAGGTTTTTAACGATGCTCCTCAGACTTATTTTTAATCAGTGCATGAAGGGGAATGTTTACATAGACTGGTAGCTGTTACCAGGAGAGGGAAATGAACTCTATCAGCAGCAGCCAAATCCCCCCCAGTTTCCCCTTCTGGGGGGACTTAGCAATGCATACCAATGCCAGGGGGTTGCTAGGCAAACAGTTGAGGCTCAGCATTTAGCAGCGTCTTCTGTACATATAAAACAGAGGCGTGGTCTCCCTTTCCTACAGCTTTGCCCGCATACCCCATTTCTCACAGCTAACAAAATCAATGGGCTGTTGATGCCCAATGCGTATTGAAAGTTAGGTGCCTAAATCCCATTAATTACCCTTTTGTACCTTTAAAATCTCTGCAGAAGACACAGCATTTAATCAGTAGGGACGGAATTGACAGATTGGGCTACAGTTGGCAATTGATTAAATGCAAGTGCTTGCAAAAAAGATGAGGGGTTTTTCTTCCTTTCTTTTTTTTTTTTGTGGGGAAGAGCAGAGAGATCTTTGTATCTTGTAAATTTGCGAACACTGTGGAATTATGAGCTGACCATCTGTCTTGCTGTGCTGTAAATCCTCTCGTTCCATAGCCCTTTTACCATTCCATATTGCTATATAGTCTTCATTTATTTACTGAGATTTATTCTAAGTGCCTATCCAAACACTGGCCATCTGAAAAAATATTAAAATTATGACAAAGGTTAAAAATATTTAATTAAATGAGTTTTCCAGGAGAGTTGTTTTTAGTGAAAAATACGAGATAGTTGGAAAGAGGATTCCCCCCCCCAGTGAAAAATTCTACATTTGTCAAATTAAAAAAATCAATGTTTTTGGTTTTCAGCTTTCTCGGAAAACAATTTTCTGAGAATATTTTCACTGAGTAGGAAAACACTTTGAAAAAAATGTCAGTTGAATTGTTTCTGGTAACTCAGTAATTCACAGGATTAACTCAGTGCAAGTTTCTTTATAAGGTAACCCACGATCTGAACTCAACCTGAAACATCCTCCTGCAATGTTTGCCATAAGAAAGGACTGCGAAAAGTTTGCCAAAAATAAGGGAAAAAAAAAAAAAGCATCTACAAAGAAAGCACTGGGATTCCCCTGGCTGAGGACTACCTGGATTATCATATGCCAAGCTAAAATATCTCACAAGTGTTATCCAGCTCCCATTTAATTCAGTGCTGTTCAGTAGAGTCTGTAGTGAGACAATAAAGTTGCAATGCTTACTCTGAAATTTAGAAGTATACTTGAAATGCATATGCAAAAATGGCTAAAGAGACCAGTTTGCGTGGGAGCTGCCATTGACTCCCAAAACAAAAGGAAATTAACCTTTCCATTGAAATGGTTCCCCTTTGACATGAGGAATGAGGTAGTGTTGCGGAGACCAGTTCCCAGAACTTTTCTGAGAGGAATGAGGCGCTAGCAACTCTTGCAATTCTTAGAAAGGTTCTGGGGGCATCTCCTGTGCAGCGGACTGGCCTTCCATGTGGACCAAAATGCCAGGATAGAACCTGATTCTGCTTCCCTTTCCTGTTAGACAGATGATTTATAGGAAGAGCGCAGCAAACCAAGCAGTTCCCAAAATTGTGACCAGATTGCATGTAAACAGTTTTTGATACACCTGTTCAGACAGCCCAGCAACAGTTGAAATTGGTATGCAGACAGCTAAATTAAAAGCAGCTCCAGTGCTTTAATGCAGGTGTTCACACTGCATGGGCTAGTGGTTATTCGTGCTCTGTAGATCAGCGTGGTGTGCAACAGGGAAGGTGACCTTGCTGTCACCTCAACTTGTCCAGTCTAGCAGAGATTTAATTTTGTTGGCCAGGGACGTGACTGTTGCTAGGTCTGAGTATCACTGACAGCTGAAGAGCGCCAGCTATGTTGCAACAGCATTCCTCCATTCTTTTGTTTCAAGCATTTCAAGTTAGGCAAGAATGATTTATGTGAAATATCAAGACTTCGATAGCAGCACATTCTAGATGTGATATATAATATAAATACTGGAACTTACCCTAAAGCACCATGTTGTTTACTGCCATTAAAGAGTCAGTGGTTTAGCCCATTCAGACCTGCCATCCAGGGATCAGTCAGACATTTATTTAAAGGAAAATTATTCTGTTTGACAGTCCTCCAGGTAAATGTATGTTCAGCATCCTTAGTACAGGATTAGTTTCTGCAGATGAATTGCTGTTGACAATATGCTGCTGAATGTGCACTTCCCATCAGGTAGTTGTATTCTGTGTTGCCTCTGCACTTATCGTTCGCGGTATATTGTAGGGATTTCGGTCAGTGCTAACACTACCTTAACTCAACCCATGATTTCAGCTAGGACCATCACTTAAGAGTTCAGATGAAAGGTTTGATCCTGCTACCACTGAAGTCAGTGGATGAAACTTCTATTTCCTCCACTGGAGCAGGATCAGGCGCTGAAAGAAATGTTACAAAGAAATTGACAAGATTTATTTTATTATATTTTAGGCTAAATGGTCAGTCTCTCTGGAAACAAGTGATCCTTGAAATGGAGGAAATAAAGTGCAAGTGCATGTGGATGTGAAATGCATAAAATAAGCAGAGTTGCATTGTGTTTGCCATTCATTCAAATGCTGGTCTAAAAGGAATCGTAGAACAAAGGCACTGTAGCAAGTGGGAGTCTCGGGGCCAGTAGAGTTGTTGGCCCATGCACTTGTCTCAGGGCTAACTGCCTGCCGACCTCATCTGCCACACCGGTTCTAATATTAATTAGAAGTTAACAGCAAGGCAAAAGGCTGCCCATTTACTTGTCCTGGTGCCAAGGGCCTATACACAGCTCCGAGCATCCCCTTACACCATGTCCCATGCCTCGCAGATGGCATCCATAGCCTAACACCCATCCCATAGCTTGTTTGGCCTAATACCCAGCTTATAAGCCCATGGCTCACACTGGGACCTGCACTCTAGTGCCTCACATTGGGATCTCACTCCCCTGCCCTCACACTGGAGCTCACAATCTCTGTACCTTTACTCTGGGCTCTCACTCAATCAGCCAGGGCTCCCAGCCCCTCCATTTTCCTTGGGCTCCCTGTCCAGCTGGGAACCCCCATGGTCCCTTCACACCCCAGCACTGGGGCCTCAGTCCCCTTAATCGCCTTGCCCCAGGAGCTTCACACCTAGCTCCCCCATAGGCTTAGGATCCCACCCCCCTGAAGCCTCATACCCAGCTCCTTCATACACCTCAGGCCCTGGAGTGAGCTTGAGCACTGCCTCAGGTCTCTTTCTGACCTGGGCCCTGCCTCAGGACTTACTGTGATCCTGAACCCTGCTTTTGTCTTCAGGGTTGCTCCCCTAGCCTTTCCCCTCCACAGGGTATGCCGCAAGGCAGCGGGGGCTGAGGCTTTCTAGTGCTTCCCTTCACTGGGAAGGCACAGATATAGCATTTCCTGGAGACTTTCCTGCCACCAACAGTCCCACCACACCATCCAGCCCCAGCAGGGTGTAGTTTTAGGTCATTCCCCAGGACCAGGAACCTCTACCTTCCCCATAACTCCTTCTCTGTACCTCCAAGATGTTATGAGCAGCAGGTCCAGCCGGGTGATGCTCTCTCTCCAGCTGCTGGCAGCAAACTGCTGGCTATACTGCTCAGAGCCCTGTTCCCAGTCGGTTAGTGGTTCCTGACTGGGAGTGCAGCCACCGGCAAGCTGTTTGCTCATGCCCCTTTGAGTAAAAGAGCACAACTTGTGCTCTGTACAGGAACCCATGCAGCTTTCTGAGCACCTTTGATGTACACTTGAAAGCACAATAAGAAAATAAGAACCATGCTAGGCAAGTACTTCCCCATCCTCAGGCACTGTCACATATCACTGAATCACACACTTTGCAATTGGTACAGATGGAAACCTCCACTAGATGGGCTTGCTGCCTGTAGTTGTCTCACTAGATGGACTTTGTGTTATGCCTGAGTGGATGCAAGAAGAAAAAAAATATCTCTGGTTTTCCAGGAGGTCCCTTTCCCTTAAAAGTGCCAGATCTTCATTCTGTAAAATGGCAACCTACTTAGAACAAGAATCTGTATGCAATGGAATAAGTAAGAGAATCGGAGAATGAGCAAAGGTCTGTCCCAGCTGTAGGGGATACCCTAAGTTATGCAATCGGGTTCAAATTCCAAAACAGTATTGCTGAAATAAATGCTACCTATGCAAACCTGAGACATCCAGGAAATTACAGCTGTTAGTCAAAATTCACATCCGCACCCCCCAGGACATAGGAGGACACAATTTCAAGCTACCACATACAGGGCAATATAAAGAAAGAAGAATGCTTTCCAAATTAAAAATCAAAGGCACCAAGGGAGTATTGCAATTGCAACAAATCAGGTGAAGAGCTACAAATGTGCACCCCCTAAGTAAAAGTGTACTCATATGATACAATACACAGAATAACTAAAACAAATGCTGCAGAAGGAAACCTTGCTGCAAGCTTTAGCAGATTTAAGGTTATAAGCAGAGGTTCATTGTGTTGAATTTTTTGTTTTTTAATAGTGAATTTGACACACTAGGGTACTCATATCTTGTACTGTTGCATGCTTTTAAACAGCTACAGAATGAGCTGAATTCCTTCATCCAGATCCCACGTTACTGTCTTTTCTAAGCATCTTGTATAGCCAGGCTGTATGAGGAATCTGCTAGAGGCATGTTAATTAAAGCACGTGATCAAGTTTCATATTCAGCAAGCGTACTTTGGACTCGTTTGGATAGCCTGGTTAATTTGCTTTTAAAACATGTCCTTTGTATTAGCATTATTATTAATTAATTTCTGTTATTATTAGTGGTGGCAGTGGTGGTCTTATTAACAACAACAAACTATGTCCCTTTAGGAAATAATAACTGTATTTTCAACAGAGTGCATCTGGAGACCTAATGATTAGAAACATCCAGCTGAAACACAGCGGAAAATACGTTTGCACGGTGAAGACGGAGGTGGACAGTGTATCATCTGCAGCAGACCTCATAGTACGAGGTAAACTTGGGCTTCTGTGGTGTGGTCGTCTAGTCTAACAACTGTTTTTAGCCGCCATTGTAAAATACAGAACTTGAAAGATTGTGACACCCACTATATACACTAAAGCGCATAAGAAAAGAACGCAATCCCTGCTCCCTGTAGGTCTGTCCGTATCCCACCCACCCACATACCCTCTCGCAGGAGATGTGTGGGATGGGAAGGGACTTGGCCTCCCCCCACTTTTACACAGGCCACCTAAGCTGAGCGGGTTAGGGGGAGAGGAAGGGGCTTTAGCAACTTGTGATCAATGGCCACGTTTACACAAGATGCTTACTGCACAGTAGCTTGTTAGTCCTGCTCAGTAGCGTCGTGGGGCGCGAACTGTGATGCGACGCTCTGGGTCACAGTAGTAACAAGTAACTGTGCAATCAGCATCACCAGGAAGCCACACAGAGACACCATGCACAGTAACTCCGGTTACTGTACAGTCCATTAGTATTTGGGTGTGCAAGTACTAAATGACTGTGCGGTAACAACTACACAGTCAGTGTCTCATGTAGACGCAGCCCCTATAACTCAGTTGTAAACGGCACCTCCACCCAAGCAGAGAATAGGGATTTGGGGTTTCCGGAGCCAAAATCTCATTCGTGATGTAAAGCAGCTGTCTGCCAGCATCTCTTATAGGCTTTTCTCCAGCATACACTGCCTAATACAGTTACATAAGCTGATGGTATTTATTTTGCTTTGGAGTTTGGGTATTAGCTGTGAGAAGATGAACTGCAGCTTTCATGTCTGATAAACTTTCATTAATGAATCTCCAGCCGGATTTATTGCAACTGCTCTAATCCACTGAAGACAATTCTGCAAATCTGCACTCATTGTGCACATTTTAAAATGTACGTGGCATTTTCCAGTTATGGCTGAGCCATTGAATGATTCGTTAGCTTTGCTGTTGTCTACGTGGCAAAAGAAGCCTCTTTCACAGGGTCATGGAGAATCAGGATTTACTAGAGTGCTGCAGAAAAGCTTGCCTCGCTGAATCGCTGTCCAAGATGCTGATCAGTTGTCGTGCTGAAAAATTGCTACAGCGCATCATACAGTAAAACGGCTTTAGATGACAAATTGGCAGACTACAGCGATGTATTAGTAGATTAAAACAGGGCACTGGGGTCTAAAGTAAAGACACGGAATTTGGAATGAGAGAGGGCTCGTGCTGAACAAAGGCCCCTGAAAGTTTGGGAATTACTATTACAGAATTTGGTTTAACAGCTATAATTTACCAGGCAGAGGTTTAGTAAATATAAAAAAAAATAAAATAAAGCTTTTGTTGCAAGCTAAATTATTTCCTTCCCCCCACAGTGCTGAAGAAATAGAAATCAGCTGGTGCTGTGGTAGTGGTTTATACTCTGCTACCTTCACAACATACCACCTATTTCTCAGTCTGATTTCTCATTGTATTAGGCTCGCCTGGCCCCCCTGAACGTGTGAAAGTGGATGAAATAACTGATGCTACAGCTCAGATCTCCTGGCAAGAGGGCACAGATAATCACAGCCCAGTCACCACTTACACCATACAGGCAAGAACACCTTTTTCAGTCGGTTGGCAGAGAGTCACAACAGGTAAAACGAAAAAACCTTTGTCATAGTGCCTTTTCCCCCTACGTTTTCAAGTGTAGGGAATAGTCCTCAGTTTCCTTCAAATGTCTTTTTTCATAGTTCCTGAAGTCATTGATGGAAAAACTTTCACAGCCACAGTCGTGGATTTAAACCCCTGGGTTGAATATGAATTCCGTGTAGTTGCCAGCAACAAAATTGGTGGTGGAGAGCCTAGTTTACCCTCAGAAAAAGTAAGAACTGAAGAGGCAGGTTAGTGGGTTTTACTGTTTGTTTTTAATCAAAGTGTCTTGACTAAACTGCAGTGCTTGGACCCGTGGATCCTTTTCCATACACATTTTGAGACGGGCGTATACCTAATTAGTCTGTGATTGTTCCATGCAGCCAGATGGGTTGTGTCCCTGCACAGCTCTCATCAACAAAACATCCAGATACACGCTACGGCGTGCTGACTTCTCCGTGTGCTCAGTCGGCTACATAGGGTCGAAAGCTTTCACTGGATGCTGAGGGGAGCTCTTGTTTATTAAAAGGACTGTAAAAGTGCAAGTCTCAACATGGACTGCTTCACATTTGAACTCTGTTCAACCAGAAAAAAAAACATCATCTGTCCATTTGTACTAGACAGTAACAAGTTGTTTTCATTGTGCAGGATGGGAGAGCTGCCTTAACGCAGTCTGCTCCTCGCACATTAATGTTCTGGCTGTTAGCACCATTGAACACTCTTAAGTGATGGGTAACAAAGCAGACACTCTGGTGCTTACATGCTAAGATAAGGAAAACCAATTTCAGTCACCATGGGATGGAATTACTAGAGAAGGTCACTAGATAGTGGCATTTACTCTTCAGGACCGAAGTATTGAAGGAGTCTTTAAAGAAAAAAAAAATAATGCCTCAAACACGTTCCGTTAATTTTTAAAGAACACTAGGGGTCTTGAATACAAGTGAAGGGGGCAATTTTCCTTGCAGTCATCACAATAAATGTTTATGCAGTATATACAGAACTGGAGTACAAAGAATGCATGTGTGATTATCAGGCAGTAGCAGTTTTGTGCTCAGCGCGTGGGGGAAATTATTTTAAGAATTGTTTGTTCTTATGAAAATCCAATGTTTTCATGCTGACAAACTAACTTGCTTTCCTCAGGATTATGTATCACTTGTATATATGTTTGCATTGGGCTTTTTTGATGTCAGGCTGGTTTGGTTATTTGGTTGCCAGTATTGCTTTTTGGCTTTTCAATCTGGGTTTACCGGTCACGTTCTAGATAGAGGAAGATGCATTGTGAAAACCAATAAAGTGGTAATTATGCTGAATTAAGAGCTGTTGATCCGTACAGCTTACCCACCAGGAGAGCTGGCATGTGTCACAAATTTGGGGCCACTCAGAATTTAGGCCACAAATGTACGCTGGCACATTTAAACCATAGATGTACTCCTGTAGAGGATCTGCCAAGCACAGCAGGCATTGAGCAGCATAAACGCAAGAGATGGTTGGAAGTTTCCAGGACTGGGTTAAAATTGCAAGAACAACCCTGAGCTCAACCCTATGATCTCTGCAGAGCAAGGGTTAATGTCCCATAATGCCATCTGTTTAGGACAGGGCTGTCCTACTTCTGGGCACACGTGCGGCGCAGGCCACAGACCCAAGTCAGGAATGCATGCTGCAGGGGTGTCCTCCTGCCCTCCCAAGTCATGCACACAGCCCAGCTCTCCCCTACTACGCATGCAGGCCAGCTCTCCTCCCTGCCACATGTACACACCCTCCTTCGCAGCCATGTTGCAGATGAGCCTGATTGGCATGATTCCTCTCCACCACCACAGGCACAGGACCCTTGCCCCTCTCCCCACTGCGCCCATCATGCAGGAAGCCCACCTGCAACATGCAGCGTGGGCAGCCCGGATCCCCTTTTTTGGGGGCCCCTACCACTCATGCAGCACAGGCAGCCTAGCCCCCTCCTGTTGTGCCACCCCACACCCCAGAGCAGGGGCAAGAACAAAAAGCCAGGGGTGGGAGCGGGAGTCTGGAGACCCCGGCCCCACTGCCACGGGAGAGATGGGCAGGAGCCACAGGCCACGTGTTAACCACTCACAGGCTGGCCACCCGTGGAACAGTTCTAGGTTAGTATCTATTCATCAGCGTGTCTGTACTGTGTAGATAGCTATATTTTTCTTCTCCACAGTTCCTGAAACACCCCCGTCGGAAGTGAGTGGGGGAGGAGGCAGCAGGTCTGAACTGGTCATAACATGGGATGTAAGTTGTCTAGCTAGAGCCTTTCTTCCCAAAGCCATTGGTTTCTTCAAGTTCCTTTTAAAAGATTAATGTCTCTGGCCACTGCGACATTTCATCGAGGCCGGATATGTGCTTGTTAACAGTCTGTAATGCGAGCTATGCAAATTTGCTTTCTCTCTTTGCTCTTGTTTGTTACTGTGCTAGAATATAATCAGTTGAAAATGTAGCTGATGTGGCCAAGGCTGCTCCTGGCTTGGCATAAATGTAAAAGAAAAAAAAGAAAGAAAAATATTGTTCAAAAGGTCAAGGAAAGGAACTGAGCTTTAATTGTGTCAGCTTCCAGTGCAGTTTTGCCACTTCTTGATTTCAGTTAACTTTGGACTTAACATGCTAACAGTTAGGCATACAAAGGAAAATTGGGTAGTCCTTTATATTAAGGAGTCCATTTTATAAAAGGTTAAATATCATAAGTGTGTTATAGTCATAGGTACTGTGTGGTTAGCATTACAACCACATCAGTGGATAGCATTATAGTTGGAAGCAATACCAGTAAGCAGCTTCATGCTCTATTGGATTCTGTAATTGTTAACTAAGCATTTATTAAAAGATCAGTTCATCATTTATAAACCATAGTCCATGCTTTTCTCATAGCCCATTCCTGAAGAACTGCAGAATGGTGAAGGATTTGGCTATGTCGTTGCTTTCCGACCTGTTGGCACGACGACGTGGATACAAACTGTAGTCACATCTCCCGATACACCAAGATACGTCTTTAGAAACGAAAGCATCCTGCCATTTTCACCATATGAAGTCAAAGTTGGTGTATACAATAATAAAGGAGAAGGGCCATTTAGTCCAGTAACCACAGTGTTTTCTGCTGAAGAGGGTTTGTGATTGAATTATCTCTCAAGCAGTTTTCTTAACATGCAATTCCTGTGAGAACAGTTCAACAGCTTATTGCCTTAGAAGTTATCAATGAGGTCATTTTTATTTCCCGGTTCACCTGTGTGTCTGATCGCCTATGTTTTTATTTCCAAACACAGAGCCTACTATAGCACCTTCCAGTGTCTCTGCAACTAGCCTGTCATCTTCAGTCATTGAAGTTTCTTGGACTGCCATTCCTTGGAAAATGAGCAGTGGAAGGTTGCTGGGTTACGAGGTAAATGAATCTGAATATGCTCCCTTCACTCAGATAGCATGGTCATAATTACTGCGTTCTCTCTCCTAATCATGTATTTACAGGTGAGCAATCATGAAGTCTAGAGTGGCTGCTTCAGCTAACCACATAGTCATTCTGTGAGGTTTTGTTATCACGTAGACCTTTTGAGGGGAAGATACCCGAGAGACATTTTAGTCAAGGCTGGACTATGTGGGTGCCTGTACACAAGTGCAGAGGCCGCTCTGATGCACTTTAATTGTAGCATGTCGGAGCAGACTTGATTAATCCCCCCCACGCCCACCCCCCCCACCACCGCCAACAGCACTGTGGCTGCCTGTGGCAGCTCCCTACTTGCCTCCGTCACGCTCCCACCGCCACCTGCAGGAGCTCACCGTGCCCCCCTAGCCTCTGCGGGCACGTGGAGTTCATGAGCCGCCTCACCCCCCTGCTCTGCCCCCCTCCATCCCCATCAGGCTGATGCTCTGCTGCCTCCAGGGAGCAGGGCCAGGGTGAGGGGCAAGGCCCACTGGCCCTGGCCCTGCTCCCTGGAGGTGGCAGAGTGCAACAGAGCGGGTGGGCGAGGCCAGCTCTGCTCCCCCCCCCACTGGTCCTGCTCCTTGGAGGCAGCGGTGGCACGGTGCTGGTGGAGGGGGATGGAGGGGATGGCAGGGCAAGCTTCCCCCCCTCCCACTCTTGGGAGGTGGGGGGGAGGGTTAGGGTTACCAAGCCCCACCCCCCTTCATTCTTGACAGGCAATTCACTAGTATAGGAATAAAATACTCTGATCTTTGAACAGAACTCACACGTTGCCTTGTTTGCTGGCAGTTTACTAAATCTGCATTATTAAGTCTAATTACTGTAAGTTCACCAAGTTTGCATTCCGAGTGAGGATTTCGACAGACATAGACCCATAGAAAACTAGGGTTAGAAGAAACCTCAAGAAATCATCTAGTTCAACCTCCTGCTCAAAGCAGAACCACCCCCAGCTCTCATCCTAGCCAAGGCTTTGTCTACCCAGGCCCTAAAAGCAGTCCAGGAGCTGTACCTGCTGCATAACCAACCTGCCTTGGTACCCGTGGGACCTCCTGCTGTTCATAGATTGTTTGCCTAGAGAAACTATTTCCTGCTTTCCATACAATACTTCAAGCCCTGAAAATAAGGATGTTACATCTTTGCACAGCTGATTGTATTCTTTCCACTTTACAGATAAATATGAAATTGCAGATGCATGACATCCTCATTCAAACTGCTGAGTACAGAACAAATTGGCCTCAACACTGGATGGTTACATGCGTCCCCTGTAATACTTCAGAAGTAGCTGAAAGGTCTGCATTTCTTAGCAGAGTGCCCTTTCATTTTTCGTTTTTTTTCCAGTTACCAAACATATTAGTCTCTCTGCATCTGAAATAGCTCCTCCAGTTCATTCAGGAACTGTAATTCTATTCTTCTTCAGAACATAGGTACAAAATATTGTCACGTCAATAAGTGCTTGGGAACTTGGCCAACTAATGAGCACTGTGGCCCTTCTGCATTCATGCTGATTAAGCATTTGATGCTGCACTTTGTTGTGCTTGTGTTTCAGTATTATATATTCAAGGTGTGGCGATCCTGTAGGTTTGGTTGTGACCCTGTTCTCATTACTAATGCAATGATTCAGAGACCCAAATCACACAGAAAGCCAACTAACCTGACTTGTGGCCTCTGTACAAGAAAGAGGGTGATGAGCATGGAGCATCCCAGCTGGCCGTGCCTCAGTCATCAAAGTGACTAATCAGAGCGTGGAGCAGCCAGGTATCAATAAGCCTAGCTTTTCAAGATACCAAGGACTTGCCTGGAGGTCATTTGTTCATGCCAAACTTATACACATGCCAGAAGAGTTCTCTCGCCCAGGTTGGGCCAGCTGGAGCAAAGTATCTCCGCCTTTATTTCAAATGGTCAAAAATATTATAAAAGTTACTTTTTGAGAGAGGTTTTCAGTGGTTTTGAAAAATCAAACGTCTCAAACACTCCAGCTGGTATTATCAAACTGCAGAGATGGTACCCAGTTTCCAGGTCGAGACAGAAGAACATTTGTACTTCTCACTTTTTTTTTCTGACTCGCCTTGATGTCTCTCTTTCTAAATGTCTCGGATAACATAGAATAACGAGCACACGTTGTGTTTTGTTCTCTGTGAGGAAAGTCATGGCTTTGCCTATACTGATATGTTGCAAGCGGCAGCTTCTACTTCTGAAGGGACTATCTGTAAGATGGATACAGTCTTCTAATCTTTCTCATTTGTTTTGTACATAAGCTAATGTTTTTCCTTGCATGGTCATCTTTGTAATCCAAATAATATTTAATATTTCAGCTTCCTTTTTATAGCTATAGTAAGAGAAGTGCTAACATGACAGACAAAGGCTAATAAGCAATAGAGATATTGTGAACATTTCTGAAACTTTAAGGCAATGTTACCACTTCTAAAAGAGTAAAATGGATGTAAAGGAGCCAACATACTACTCAGGATGAACATTTCATTGTAAGCAAGTTTTAACTAGTTATACTTTGTATTCACTAGGTCAGGTACTGGAATAATGGTGGAAAAGAAGAATCTTCAGATAGAGTAAAAGCTACTGGAAATGAAACATCAATAAGGATTACAGGCTTAAAGAGTAACTTGCCATACTATACAGCTGTCCGGGCATATAACACTGCTGGAGCAGGTCCCTTCAGTGCCACAGTAAATGCTACCACAAAAAAGACGCGTAGGTATTAACAGTATAAAGAGGGGAGCGTGATAACGGTTCATCGTCACTTTTGAGCAAAATGACATTGATGGCAATAGGCTTCGTAACACCTGAAAATGATCCGAACTTTTTTTATATGAAAGATTCAAGTTCAAGCCATCTACCTTTCTGTCAGAAGGGTCATGTCTGTGTAAATTCAGACGTGGCAGTGGACCTGAACCACCTGCCTTGATTATTGATTTCTGAGCTCTCCAGTTGCATGCATCTTAGTGACAGGAAAAATTAAAACGGATCAGATTTCAATTTATTATATGCAAAGGAAAGCTCCTGCTATTTGAAGAAAAATGACTCATTGCATGTTTTAGGGCTTTATAACATATTTATAAGTCTTTGAGGGCTTCATTTCTGAGGTGATGTGTTGCCTTACCTCGAATTTTTTTTCAAATCCATTGCTCATTTAGGCTGTATCCTCTTGCCAAATTATTCACAAGATTGCCACAGATTGATCACCCTTGAGGACATGCAGATACTCAGAAGCAGTGATAATTTTTGCAGGAACAGAACTAGTTTGAGCACGTTCTTACATTGAAACACAATTCAAAATCAGCGACACAAATGTGGAAGAATAACTAACAGATGTACAACTGAACCCATATAAAGGGTCAGATCCACACTGTGGCCTGATTCTGATATCATACTTTTGTAGTTGCACCATGAGTGTCTTCAAGGCGGTTCCATTACATGAGGCAGCTTATCAGAACAGGATGGCCGGGGGTAGGGCTGAGTTCTAGTTTGGGCTTCTACTCTTACTGATACCCAAACTTTTCCCAGTGCTGCGTATCCAATAAATACTAAATGCAAATCGAAGTGTGCCAACTTTACAGGGTTTACAGTCCAAGCCTGTGAGGAGAGACTAAGGGACCTGGACCTCTTCAGCCTCCGTGAGAGAAGGCTGAGCGGTGATCTTGTGGCCACCTACACATTCATTACGGGGACGCGGCAAGGGATCGGAGATGCTCTGTTCACCAGGGCGCCTCTTGGGGTAACAAGGAGCAATGGTCACAAATTGACAGAGAGCAGATTTAGGTTAGACATCAGGAAATACACGTTCATGGTAAGGGTGGCCAAAATCTGGAATGGGCTTCCAAGGGAGGTGGTGATCTTCCCTACCTTGGGGGTCTTTAATAGACGACTGGATAGACATCTGGCTGGGGTCATCGGACCCTTGAACTCTTTCCTGCCTAGGCAGGGGGTTGGATTCGATGATCTGTTGAGGTCCCTTCCGACCCTAGCATCTATGAAACTTCAAGAAGATGGTTGGGGAAGCATCAGAGCATGCTAACATCCAACTAGTTGTGCTGTTTTTTAAAGGGGAATATCACTGATTAATATTTTCCACTTTATAACTGTGCCTTAAGCTGCTGCTTCTCCAAATTTTCAGGTTGGTGTTCCTTATTCAGAGACAGACATTTGCTGATCCCCCCTACTGTTTACTGTAAAAAAAAAAAACACCAATTACAAGGCAAAGCCTTTATTATTAATTTGTGTGTATTGTATTATGTGGGATAAGTAATATTTCCTTCACTTAAGCCTGTAATAAAATGCACTTCACAATCCCTCTCTCAAGAGTGACAACACAGAGGTTGAAAATGGTGCCTAAAGCCATACTAGCTTGATTCCACTATGGGCTTTGTATCAGCCACCTTTCATACCAGCTTTGTTCAAGTTAAATACCAGACACATTTTCATATTTCTAGGAGAGCGCCTTTTGTTTTTTAACCTAGCAGAAGCAATTGCCCTCATCACTGAAAGTGACCCCGTGGGAAACGTTGGTAGAACTCACCCTGAGAGTTTCATTGTTTTCAGTCCCATCAGACAGAATTAAAAGCCGAGGTACCACGTAATGGTCCTTTAGCACATCTATTCTGTCCTCAGTTTCACAGATCTAATAGTGAATTTCACTTCCTGTACTGCCATTCTGGAACTAAACCTAATTAGAAGTTGCTATGGGAAAGGCAACCAATCACAGTTCATTTCAGCACGGGACTTCTAATTCTCCTCACAGTCAATTATCTCACAGTTAGCCTATAATGATGGGAAGCTGTTTCTTAATTGTAACTTCCTGATGTGGTACCGAAAGATGTGAATATAAGTTTCTGTATAGGCTGATGACTAGTAATGAGTATCCTGAAGATTAAACAAGGACAAACCAGTTGGTGTAATAATTCCTACAGCACAGTGCCCTCGTTCGTATTACCATCATATAATCACTGAAGTCAAAGATCATTTTCAGTTATCATCACTGTATTCATTATAAACTTTCTGTCCAAGCTCACAGAGGTTGGGGTACATTAATGGCCCCAGCCATGAGAATTTTTCTATTGTTGCCCAAGTAGTAAGCCACTGAAAGCAAGACCTCAAACTATTGTCTTCCTGTTAACTGTGGGATACTGTTTGGCAGACAGCAAGTGTTTGGGGGGGTTTTTTCAAAGCTACTTTCTATTATTCTAAGATATTTCACAGATTTTTGCAGCCCTTTTCAGGATTGAACCCTGTCCTGTCTGATTTTATCCCCCCCCCCCCAAACCCCCCACTTTCTGTTTTTATATTTGAAGGCAACTATTAAGAATTCTAACCCCAAAAAGGTAATATATTGTTCTTCCTTAAACGCACGGTGTTATGCAGAAGCTGAAAGAATCAACTCTGCAGGTTTTAAGTTAACGTAACAATAAAACTGACAAATAGCCTACACAGAAGTCCTAATTATGCAGGGTAGTTAATGTATGGCTAACCGTAAGCATCAGGGGTCTTGACAAAGCTTATTGGACTAGTCACAGATTTAGAGCGAGTTCAGCATCTGTGTAAGTACCATATCATAGTGGGGTCTAGCACAGTGTGAACCAAATCCATTTGTTTTGGTCATTTAAAATAAATGGCAGTTCTCTGCGACTAAGGCAAATAGGGGCATAGGAGGTTGCTCCTTTAAGTCAAATGGTATATGCCAGCATGCTTTGTGTGTTACTATTTTCATTTCTCCGTATGCGTGTAGATGACATATTAGTACTTTTTATGTATTTATAAAAGTGATTATTTCCTTCTCAAACAGCCTTAATATCAATGTGTGAAAACTATTCAACATACTCCACTCTTGAGAGAACAAAGAGCTTCATCTGGCAAACTCCCCTTGTACTTATAGAAATTGAGTATTAGTGCATCAGGGTAAATCCTGTTTAGTATGTAGAAGCCAGTAGACACTGCCAAGTATTTGCTTGACTATTTAGACTAATTCTCTTAAGCTTTGCACATACAGCTTTTTTTGCATCTGCTTTGTTCCTGTACAATCAGGTTTTACTGACATGACTCTTCATGGAAAAAAAATCTCAGGCTGCATGTGCGGAAAAGGTATTTTAAATGTGTTAATGTGAATATGCACTGGAAATGTGGACCTTGCGAAGTCCACCCTAGGTCCTTAGTGTGGGTCAGTAATGGAAATTTCACCATTAAATCCTAGACTTGTGACACCTGAGTGACAGCTACCACTACTTGCTGGCAGTAGCAATAAGCTGGTATCCTTCAAAAAGAGGTTAGACATGCAGGGCAACATTTTTTTTTTCAGTGGCTGGTGAACCTAGATGCCTTGTTTTTTGGGAATCCTGTTGACACCCTTTTAAACGTTTTGATTCTGGAGGCTGAAAATTGTTTTTTCCTTTTCCCTTAAAGGTATCTCTAACTGACCACTCGAAATTCACCTGACTTTTTGGAAAATATCAGCATCCTCCTGTCAGGGAACAGAGAATACTTTGCCCAAGAAGCATGAGACTATTTAGCTGTTTTTGCTGACCAATCGCATCTCACCTAACATAATTCTAATGACATAATCGTGCCACACAGTTGAAAGGCGGGGATTGAGTAGGGGGGAAAAAATTTTCAAATACTTCTACACAACAAAATACATGCAAGGAAATTGCAACAAATTTGAGGAATATCCATAAATGACTGAAGGTGTCAAATTCATTGCAAAATATTTGCTGAACAGAACGTTAAGATATAAATGATACAGCTTCATCATTCTAATAATTCACTCAAATTGATCTTTATATACCCTAAAACAGTTGCTTTTGTTCGGCCATATTTAATGAAGACCTTAGACAAATCAGCCTTGGAAATAACACTGATGTGCCACTCTCTTTCTTTCTTCCTTCTGTTTTTGCAATTTAGTCTCTGAACCGTGCCGTGTACAAGTAATGATCTATTTGAGTTGCTTTTACATCCAACGTGTAATGACAGTCAATTACCTGAACTATTATTTGCTACTGTGGAATAAATCAGTAATGCCAAGGAAATTAAAATCATGCTTTCATTTTGTATTTCAAGCCCCCAGTCAGCCACCAGGAAATGTTGTGTGGAACGTTACAGACTCAAAGATAGTTCTGAACTGGGACCAAGTGCGAGCAATGGAAAATGAATCTGAAGTAACTGGATATAAGGTAAGGGGAAAAAAGAGTAGGACTAGAATACTTCATAGCACCAAATCTTTTTACAGTAAGCATTTTCTTCAGATTTATTTCCAAGGCAACAAGTTTAGAGCAGTTTTCCATAAATCTTGACCACTGGATGTACAATACCATGCCCAAACCAATCTGCAGCAGCTCCTTTTCTATTTCTTATCAGTATTATAACGTTTGGAATAAAACAAAGTAGTCCAGATCCTCGGCTGGAGGAATTTGGTACAACTCCATCTGTCAGACTGATATTATCTTAGCTAGCTTATTTATTGCGGGGACACTTTCAGCACCTTGCTAAAATAACTGTAACATCAGTTCAGTCACCAGTCAGTTGTACAAATGTGCACAGATTTCTCCAAATCTACATCTTACACAACACATGGAGAATTATAGAGATAAGCTGCATGCATCTGTAGCCCGCATAATTATTCCTGTAATTGTGGGTGCCTGGGTGCCTGTATTTTCTGGACTTAGGCACAGACGCTCATCTATAATTCAAATGCGTACATAGCCACATGCATACCCACCTCCATGTGCTCGGTCTACACATGCATACTTAGGCACAGGCACCGATTCTGTTTCCCCACGCCAAGTGGTTTTGAGGCATGCACGTGGCTGAAAAACTGCCATTTCCATGCACCGAGGGACACTGAATTCCACCCCAGCGTTAGAAAACATCACACCTGTGCAGTTAAGTTCCCTGACATAATGTTCCTTCCATGCTTGCCTAACTTCTTCCAATACAGCCCATAATTTGTATGTTTTGATTAGTTGCCTTCTCTGCACCTTCTTACTATTTATTGATCTAGATAATGACACATCTAAACGTTAGGATAATTTATGGAAGATTACACTACGAAGAAACTCTGTGGAATAGTTTATTCTTTTGTTATTGTATATTGTGCCATTTGAGATTAAATCTAGAATGAAAGAGCTTGATTTGTGTTATCTGCTTTCACTCTGTCTCTAAATATTGAGTCTAATTCTGCGTATATGAAGCCAGTCAGAAAGGCAGGAAAGGAGGATTAAAAAAAAGTAATCCAGGAAAAAAAAAAAATCTAATTAAGTGTAGAACAGAAGAGAGTGGAAGAGCTGCATGGTGGCATTGTAAAGAACACTGTTGGTTATGTATTTCAGGTTTTATACAGGACTAGCAATCAAAACAATATGAATGTGCTGAACACAAATAAGACATCAGCCGAACTTTTGCTGCCGTTCAATGAGGATTACATTATAGAAGTAAAAGCAACAACTGATGGTGGAGATGGAACTAGCAGTGATCAGATCAGGATTCCCAGACTAACTAGTATGTTGTCTCTGATACGAGTTGTTCTTGCTTACAGCAGTGTATAGGGGCCCCAACCAATATAAAAACCCTTTATGCCAGGTGTTAGTAGGACGCGGTGCATTCCCTGATGCCTTCTTAATCTAAACAGGCAGTGGATGAGGGGAAAACAGACATACAAAGAGGGGAAGCACCTCATCCAAGATCATCAGTGGTAGAGTTGTGCCTAATTCGGTACCTTATGAATACTGTGGTTCTACCACTGAGATACTGTCTTATACTTAATGGCCAAACCTAGTGGTGAAGGCGATGCACAAGAAGCACAAATTCACGAGTATGATTTTTGGTGTATTTGGGTCCAGTGGGAGTGGGAGGGAGAATGTTATCTCGTACCTTCTGTATGCTGATCACAGCATTGGAGACGGGGGCTGGTTTGTAGGGCATGGTCAGATGAGGCAAGCTCAAACTCCGTGGCCCTCTAGAAGGAAGGGCAGTGATAATAATGTAAAAGGCTGATTTGCTTAGGCTTGTTTGCTGGGAATGTTCACGTTTAGATGCTCTAAATCCTGGAAAGTCAGAGCCTGAGCCATGATGAAAATTTGGTCCAATGCACACTTCATGAAAAATCAATTTAAGGTTTTGGTTTGTGAACGTTTTATAAACAATCTATGCCCCAGTGTCAAAATGCAAGGCAGTCGCTGAAGCCTAAGGTTCATAAATTCTATTGGAGCTTACTTTAATCAAGTTCTACAGTACAAAAATTGGCTAATCTGGCATTACTAAAGACATTGTTAATCATTTATATTTCAGCCTATAAAGTAACAAGAATATCAGCACTGGCTATATATAAAAAGGCTGAAAGTCTCATAATGACTAATTTGGCTATACTACTACTACTAACACACACACACACACACACACACACAGAATTCAGTTGCACTATTTTGATTTAGTTTACCAAGTCATTACAGGACTTTGCACCTGACAGCCACAGCTAGCCGCTGAGAAAACCTGCCTTTGTACGAATTGAGTCCTTATTGATTTAAAAAAATAAAAAATCCATGCTTGTACTCTGTATGGTAATAAGATAATAAAAAAGGCAATTAACATTTATCATGCCCTTATGTATGACAAACTTCATTCTGTTGGACTGGTAAATTGCCATATAATTTAGACAGTAGTATATATTTTTAAAAATCTGATTTTCGCTTTTTATATGGCTCTCACTCTTTGCAATTATAACCTGAAATATAAAGAACGTTCAGTGAATTCTCCCAAAATGTTAATATATTTAAATATATTGTAAATATTTATCACATTTTGGTATAATTTTCATTAGCAGCAGAAATGAAGTGCTATATTAAAATCTCTTCTGGAAAATAATATACGCAGCTCACAGGTAGCATTTTTAGAGACAGCCTATATTTTTGCCTTCATTTAATCCTGAACTTTTTCATTTATCGCAGGTATGGACGCAAGGGGTTCTGGTGCAACAGTCTTGAATGTCTACATTTTATCCAGTTTCATACCAATAGTACCTTTCTTGACTTTTAATGCAGTGTTGTGGTAATACGTGTTCATTCATTGGAACAATGGTTCAGTTAACAACAAATAAGTGCTTTTAAAAAAAAAGAAATGCAGTGGTTATGCATGGTTTTCTCAAACTCTGATGTGTTTTTAAATACTTTATATTCCATTGTAAGTTAAAGTAAAAAATACCATATAAAAATCAGCAAATCCTTTTAAAGGAAACTAAAATGCCTTAATACTTGAACCAAAGGAGTTTTCATGTTCCATACTTCAAATATAAAAGAGAATAAGAGTGAATAAAATGGCACTAAGGTTTGAGAGTTTCACAGAGCTTCATATAGACCCGAGGTCTTTGACGAATTCCATTTTTGCAGCAACACTGTACTGGTTTGAGCATGTCTTGTGTCACTGTGATAGAATCACTCTCATCCACAAAAAAAGATGAAATTGGAGGCATAAATAATTGCAAATCTGGTGACAAAACTTAGATCAACTTGAACATTAAGAAAGCGGTGTCTTTACCAGTAGATTTGGATAAGCTTACATACTGTTGTTTTATAATATCTATGCTAAATCTACCAAAAACACCTGGTAGAGGTGGCAAAGATGGGAAAGACCTACTATATCGTCCAGTCAACTGCTTTGTCCAAGAGACACCACTTCCACTGCTTCTCTTGGAGATTACTCCAGAGATACATGTCAAAGGTTATTTGGGGGTTTTTTCCCTACAGTCAATGTACACTTATTTGAAGTACATAATTCTCACTGCCCATCTATATATATTTAACTTTCTCACATTCCCTGCCGCCGTCACTTCTTAACCAGGGTACCACCTCCATGTTTCCCATTAAATTATTTCTTCATAACCTAGTTCCCCTAACTCAAAGGTCATTTTTGGTAATGTTCTCTGAACTCTGGCCAGAAAGTTTCAGAATATGAAGTGCCAAGAACTGAGCACCATATGCTGGGTACAGGTACAACATAGCCTTATAGAGTGGGATTATTACATCCCTGCTCTGTGATGTGGTGCTTCTGGATATGCAGCCCAAAATGATCCTGGCCATTTAACTGCCGTGCTGCATTGCCTAAATCCGTGCATACATAATTCCATGTTTCCTGTTACTCCTGAGCTTTCTTGGGCATTGCTGCTACAAAGAGTTTTTCTTTCTATTGCAGAAAGATCCCTCTATAGCTAAGCAGCTCTACATATCGGAGCAGCACTGGCATTCTAGCGCATTCCACGGACATCATATAATGCTGGCAATACTGTAGCCTTTCCTTTATATATATTTATTTATATCTCCTTTATAAATATATATTATTACCCAAACCTTTCCTAGCAATATATTAAAGACATGCTCAACCTGGCACATTTGATTTTTCTACAGTTGCAAAGCTTAAACAAACCACGTGTACTACTGTAAGCAGCTTTCAGTCTGATACCGAGTTCTACCCTATCAAATGTTCATGTGACATGCAATGATTTTTTTTTCTCTTACAGTTTCTCAAAATACTACTGTGACGCATACACAAAAAATTAAAAGTCAACCTCAAGAGAGAAGTAGGACCATTAATATTCTATCACTGTAAAAATGTTTTAATATGCATTCAGCCAGCAAATTAACATTCTCGTCTAACACACACTCATTTGCTAGCTAGCTAAGCAAGACGTGTATATACTGTACATACATCATAAGGAAACATAAATGGCTAGTTGCTTTCCAGTACAGCTAACCAGTGATTTTTTCCAAACAGTCACAAATGGGGGGGAAGACAATTTCCTAGTAAATGTATATCTCCGTTTCATGCAATGAAAGGTGAATCTTTCTATTCTTGTTTAAGACAGTTCTACTTCATGTTCCTGTACTGCCATTTTCATGACTACTATTCTGTTGTATTATTTAATTTCTAGTTATATATCTCCATGAGATATGTACTGCGTACCTTGTTTCATATTGAAAAGTATGAAATGTATCCTTAAACTTCCAGCTGTGTGTGTATCCTATGGTTATCTGTATGTATTTTTTCTATTATTCTAATAAAATATTTATAACAGTGAGGATTACTGGTATCTTCCAAAATATGTTCCACTCTTCACTGGAGATGCATGAACTCAGGAGATGCATTGGAAAGATGCCCAACCAAACACTTACCAACATTTCTAGCAGTGTTAATACTAACCGTCATATCTCTGCTTTTTCCCCTACCTGTGCTAGAGTACAACCGGATCCATGCCCAGTAAAGTCTAAAGAAAAATTCTCATCAATTTAAATGCGTTTGGTTTGGGCCCACACACTCGGGGTTTTTTTCAAATGTGTTCTGTGATGTAGATGCTCATAGGCTTACTTTGTTAAACATTTAGCTGGCCTCATTACAACACGCATTTGGTTTTTGACAAATTTCCATCCTACTTTTATTATTGTACTTTTAAAAGGGGAAGTAAAAACCAACTGAATTGAACAGTTAACAGTAATGTACCCACTAGTCTGTTCTGCCCACTGTCCTGTTGAGCGCCATAGAGCACTGACTTTCTCATTTCCCTGTCAGTAAAATTGTATGGTTTCTGCCTTTGTAAAGCACTCAACTACAGATAACAAGGAGCCAGAAATGTATTGGTAATAGTGGTAGTAGTAGCATTGTTACCATCATGGATGGAAACTTTATCAAACTACCAAAAAATGACACGCCTCATATGTCCCTAATTATTACCCTCTAGCAACAACCTGCCCAGTCCTTGCACACCCAAACTTCCTTATAATTAGTGACTTAAACCTGTAAATAAATCCTGACTTCGGGCACTGAACTATAGTCACATTTTCAAGTTACAGTCCTGCCACCAGTTGGAGCAGTGAGCAGCTTTGTGCACAGCAACAGTCCTACTGAACTCAGAACTGGCCTGTATTGGCACTTCCTTCCATGCCCTTTAGTTACTTTGCTCTGTCCAAGATCCATTTTTCTCACATGTTTAATCTTCCCCAGATCATACAAATGTCAAGGGTTACTTATTTGGCCACTGCCACAAAAAAACCAGAGCGCCCCGCCTCCCAGGAAAGATCCATCCTCCACTTGTCTGTCATTCAAACCCTCTGACACAACTAGGTGCCACTGCTAGGAACATATAGCCTTCATGTCTACATTACTATGAAGTCTAATATATATGCATCTTACTGAAGGAGCTAATTATGAACCAGCTAATATTACATAGCTACTACCTATGTAGTGGGAGCTGATCCAAACATTGCAATACAAGCTGTTAATTGCCACATATTTTACAAGCTTGAACACTAGGGCTAGGGACAGACATTCAAAAAGCCTGAGCCTGAACTGATTTGTAAGTGGATAGACAGTCACTGTTGATTCAGGAAATGCAAGCACATGCCTGCAGTGACTCTGACTAGAAGCTGAGGGGCACTAGAGCAGCCCTCCCTTCCCTTCCACAATGCTGAGCTGAGGGCGAGGGGACTCCCTCCCCCTCCTCACTGCTCAAGGGGTGGAGGGGTTGCCAGACCCTGGCCCCTGGCTAACACTCTGAGGCAAATGGGGAGTTGAGGTGGGGGGGAGGGAAGGGGCAGGGAGGACTGCATGTGTGGACTACATGCGTCTATTAATGATATGAACTTTTCAATCTCCTTCTCCCTGCTGCTTCATACTGTTTGGAGCAAACTGACAGGCACTGCATTCACTGCAAGCCAGGTCATTTCTCACACCTCTCTGTCCCCTCTTGAACATTGACAGACTGCAGGCTTTGAAGCAAGCCAGCAGGAAGCTTATCAGAACACAGAGGTTATCAGGCCATCAAGAAAACAAAAGCCTCGCTCAGTAGTTCAAGCTCTTCTTAAACAGCTTTTTCTAAGGCATTTGTAATTACCAGCTAATCTGTTGATTAGTTCAAAAAAAGCCCTAAGTAGACACTGTTCTGCCTGCCTTTCTTTCAGTGAAATTTGGAGAGAGAGACACACACACACAGAGACATCTCTCAGCATTAGCAAGCATGGGGGGGTGGCATGGTCAGATGCTGGCTCGGGTCCCTGCTGTGGGAGAGGGGGGAATCCCCACTTGAGCAGCGAGCAGGGGGAAGCCAAGCAGATGTTACTGTGCCTGCAGTCCCCCACCTCTTCCTCAGCCAGCCAGAGCAGACAGCCCAGCCCAGGGATGCAAAGCATGCTGGGAGACTCTGCTTTAACTTAAACCAGGAAGGGGTCTGGGACAGAAGTTGCATAAACTGGTTTGACCCAAATCGGTTCAGTCTGGTACTACATTCAACCAGGCTTATCTAAAACCAGTCTCAGCCATTTTGAACCTATGTTCTGTTACAGGTTTAAACCAGTTTCTGATCACTTAAACGAGGTTTATGTGCAACTGCTGTCCCTAACCTAGGACATCAAAAGGCAATATTGTCTTGATGAAGCAAATTTGTTTGTTTGGCGGGGGGGGGGGGTTATAGTTTTGCGTTTAATGGCAATTTTGTCACATGACTGTGCATTGCCAGAGGCCCTGTGTTGAAACACAACCTCAGCAAAAGCATTGCACTGCATTTCCCCAAAGGCTCCAAGAAGTCTATTTAAGATGAACTCCCTTTGTCCCTAGCTGTGGCTTAGCTTAAGTTTCTGCAAAGGTTAAGATTTATTTACTGAAGACCAACTGCCTATTGGGTTTCCACGGAAGTACTGCAGGGAAGAATGTCAGGTCAGGTAAGAGAAATATGGCAGCACTGAAAGAAAAATCTGGGTCTCTCAATCTTTACTGAAGCATTTCACACGAGCCAAATTTCCAACCTGTGCAGAGTCAGGCCTTCCTCTGCAAATGTGCAGTGTTACTGAAAAGCCTAGGAAAGTATTTCTGCCCTTTAATGGTAAATACTTACAATGTATTTACAATGTGAGTATTAACAAAGTAGTTGGCTAAAATGAAAATAACAATGTATCTTCCAAGATAGCCCATCCTACCTATATGAACAATGAGAAGCCTCACTACTGCTGCGTTGTAAATAGCTTTTAAAGATTTTGTATTTATTAATTTAGGCCACTTGTTAATTAAAAAGTTTAAAATACCCATTCACCTACCATCCAGCTAACTTATTTAATATGCCAAAATGTAACACCTAACCTCAGAGAAATACTGACCAAGAGCATATGGATGGGGGAAACTGAGTGCTAAAAGATACACTTATGGAAGTCTTTACTTGGACTGCTTAAATCGCTGAAACTTGGAGATGGATGCTGAAACAAAGAACGCTGAGCATCAAGGATCCAGATGTGGCATCACGAATACAAGGCGAGTCATTTGGCTTTGCTGAAGAAGTATGTCAGTTCTTAGACCCGGTCACAAGTGTGCACAAACTTTGATACACAAGATCAGAGCTCTACACTTGTATCCACTGCCATACCTCTGGCACATCTGAAGTGTTAAGGATGCTTGGCTTTCAGGGGAGCAATAGGCCTAACCAGGGGAACAGAGCTACCGTCATGCATCTGCGGTAACCTTCCATTTCTCTGAAAACTACAGTGACGCACGGTGCCGTGGGACTCTGCTTGAGAGTCTTAATGCACTGGTCTTTCAACATGCAAGAGTTTTGATGGAATGTGATTTAAATTCTCCCCTAAGTAAAAGGTGCTCTATTTCTGTGTCAGCGACACTACAATTACAGATGGAGGGGAAAAATAAACCCTCAAATGTTCCCAGTTCAGACTCGATTTAAAGAAGTGTTCAAAAGGATCAGTTCTCCTTCCAGCAGTGCAAGTCTGCCATAATTCCCTTGAAATCAATTACTGTGGTTACTTCAAATTTACACAGGTGTTACAGAGAAAACTTTGGTCTAAAATTTCCAAGTCCTGCATCATCACCATACAAAATTGTCTTTGTAAACCCTTCCCTGCTCAATTTAAGCACCATTTTGATGTCTTCTGGCTAAGCTTTGCTTTTATATATATATATATATATATATA